GTCACATACCGCAGCAATGGAAAACGGCTCACGTCGTGCTTATACCCAAGCCTGGAAAACGCTTACAGCTTGAAAACTTAAGACCTATTTCACTAACTTCCTGCCTGGGCAAGGTAATGTAACACGCCTTACTGACCCAATTGACTAACTATCTAGAGGACAACAGCGTACTCCCATGTACAATGATAGGATTTCGGAAAAATCTCTGTACACAAGAAGCGATGCTACAATTAAAACACGAGATCATAGATGACCCTAGCAGATCAACTCGAGCCATTCTCGGGTTGATCTAAAAAAGGCATTTGATAATGTCACCCGCCAAGCCATACTGAGTCATGTCAGTAACTTAGCTTTAGGTGAATGGACGTATAATTACATCCGAAACTTTCTAACGGATAGGCAGGCCAAAATCGTTGTAGGAGGCCTCACATCCGAGGAAATATCTATGGGTGGGGCCGGTACACCCCAAGGATCAGTGATATCACCTGTTATTTAACTTAGTCCTATCTGGCCTACCAAGTAGATTAAAAAAATAGAAGGTTTGCACCATACAATATATGCAGATATTACTCTGTGGGTAAGCAATGGCAGCGATGGGTCAATCGAACAACGTTTACAAGAAGCGATCGACACCGTAGAGCAATACCTAGAAGGAGCTGGTCTCACGTGCCCAGCGGAAAAATCTGAGCTGCAACTATATAGACCAACATTGAAAGGCCGACCACCCAAGCACCACAACGCACATACCTACACAGACATACAACTTAAAACACGAGATGGACACATCCTACCCATTGTCGACAAGATAAGGGTACTGGGGTTAATAATAGAAGCCAAAGGCACCAACGAGGAAACGTTACGAAATACAGAAGCGAAGGTTTATCAAACGATGCGCCTAATCAAAAGAATTACGAATAAGCATAGCGGCATGAAAGAGGCAAATATCATAAGGCTAATCCACGCGTTTGTCATCAGCCACATTACGTATGTTTCTGCGTGCCATAGATGGTTTGCAGCAGGAAAAATTAAATTAAACAGCCTCATAAGAAGAATCTACAAACAAGCGCTGGGACTCATGCAAGGCACAAGTACAGAGAGGCTGTTAGAGCTAGGTTTACATAATACACTTGAGGAGCTGATAGAGGCGCAACGTATTGCACAGTACGAGCGCCTCTCTAAAACCAAGACTGGTAGATGCATCCTGGAAAAATTAGGAATCACTTACCACACACAATTTGGCACCAAATGCGACATTCCTCGTGACGTACAGGCTAAGCTCATGGTGCCTCTGTTACCTAAAAACAAGCATCCCGTGCACAACGCAGGTAGAAGGCTGAGCAGAGCCAAGACGATGACAAAGAACTACGGAAACAACAAAGAAGCGGTCTTCGTAGATGTCTCGTTACAAACACAAAAGCTGTACGTCGCAGCTGTAGTTAACCACGAGAAACAATTCAGCACCAGTCCGACAATACACACGAGACGCCTTGAAACGGCGGAAGAGATAGCTATAGCTTTGGCCATATCACAGACTGACACGTGTTATATAATCAGCGATTCACAAGCAGCTGTACGCAACTTTGCAAATGGCAGAATCTCCCCAGAACCACTGCGTATTCTTAGGACAGGCAAAACCAACCAAGACGACAGATGCGTTTGCATTCTCTGGTTCCTAGCTCACATAGCAGACACCACGGGAGATATCAACCCTAACGAGGTGGCACACAACGTAGCTCGAGGACTCAATTTCCGGGCTACGACTTATGTTGATCCCTCGTCAGAATTTCCGAAGGTGTGGCAGTTGGAGGAACGAATGACAACGTTCAATGAAATTACGAAGCATTATAAATTACAGAGGCGTGTTTGCCCCCCTCCTCATCATAAATTCAACAAGGCGCAGTCTGTCCAATGGCGACAATTACAAACCAGATCCTATAGAAATCCAGCGCTACTACATGCTTTGTATCCAGAAATCTACGCGGCCGCTCAATGCGAAGATTGTCAGGCACGAGCTTCCTTAGAACAATTACTATGGGAATGCCAGGGATTAAAACACAGTAATGAGAACGCGGCCTCCACCGACAGCCTCCGCGCGCGTTGGCTGGCTGTGCTGCTCAGTTCAGCCCTGGACGATCAGCTATGGGCAATCCAGCGGGCCGCGGAAGCCGCTAGGCGGCAAGACCTTCTAGCCGACACCTAAGCGGGAGCCCAGCCCACTAACACGCCGGATACAAAATAAAGTTTATTCCTTCCTTCCATCAATCCTCGTGATAACAATATCGTTCATTTAACCGCCACCGACTGTGCTGCAATTCCTTCGGGATTGTTCGCCAAGACTTTTATTGAAACATTTGTGCGAAATTTCTCTTTTCCTGAAAACGTCTGCATGGCACCTCTCGAAACATTTAGCTACATTGATATGTTTCCAATAATTATTTAACTAAGAGGAATCGCTAAAGTAATTAAAACACCCAGTTTCTTCCGCTCCCGCTTGTGACATCAGCCCTAAATATTTGCAGAACACTTGCGCCAATTCATCCATCATTTTAACAAAGATTTTTCAGCAATCACTTGAACACGGTTGTTTGCCTGCCGACTGGACGGTGGGAAAGGTGATTCCGATTCATAAACCAGGAAACAAAAACTCGCCGCTTAATTACCGACCCATTTCACTTACTAGCATCTCTTGTAAAATCCTGGAACATGTTCTTTTTTCACACCTTGTTAACGCGATCACACCTTTTACGCGATTTCACACCTTTTACGCGATCACAGCATGTTTTTCGCAAAAGTTACTCATGTGAAACACAGTATCTTTCACACATAAGCTTCATACCATACTTGATCGATCATCATCTACTGACTTCATTTATTTAGACTTTTCAAAAGCATTTGACAAGGTGCGCCATAAACTACTACAACACAGGTTACTCGGGTTACGTCAGCTTATTATTGAACCGAAACTTGTTGCATGGCTTGAGATTTTTCTAACTACTCGCTCGCAGTTCGTTTCGATTAACAACCAAAATTCTAATAATACCTTCTTTCAATCCGGTGTGCCACAAGGTTCTGTTCTCGGCCCTCTGCTTTTCTTAATATATAATAATGATTTAACTTCGTGAGTTTCGTGTAATATAAATTTATTTGCTGACGATTGCATAGTGTTCCGAGAAATCATCTGTGGCGATGACCTTATCACCCTCCAAACTGACCTGAATTCTATAACGGCTTGGTGCTTAAAGTTGCGCATGGTACTCATTGTTAGCAAGTGTAAATATATGCGTGTATCCAGAAAAAATAACCAATTACCTGTTTACTACCTTGATAGCATCACTTAGACTTTCTTTCTTCCTATAAATATCTCGGTGTTAACATTACTAGCAACCTCACCTGGAACATTCACATTGAACATATTATTAACAATGCGAACCGCATGCTGGATTACCTGAGGCGTAATTTTGTTAAGGCACCATCTTCTCTTAAACTACGTTTGTACAAAATACTTCTTCGTTCTAAATTAGAATACGCCCCGTGTATTTGGGGTGCTTATTGTAACAATCTCATAAACTGGCTTGAAATGGTACAAAAAAATTCTGCCTGTTTCATCCTGCCTAACTATAACCGAACCCCCAGCGTGATAACAATGAAATCTACTCATAACCTTCAATCCCTAGCAGTTCGACGTAAAATTCCCGACTTTCTTTGTTCCACAAAATATTTTATCACCAACACCTGCGTGAAAAACTCATTTTGCCTCCAGTGTACGTTTCTTCTCACCTTGATTATGCTCACAAAGTCGGTATTGCATCAACACGAACGGCCGCTTTTTCTCAATAATTTATTCCCCGTACGTCATTAGAATGAAATAGCCTTCTCTCTCCTACAGCAACCATTGTAAATCACACGCTTTTCAAAAATGCCATAGTCAACATTTTGTAATTCTTGCTTGTTGTGTACAGTTATGCTTGCTTGCTGCGTTTCTTTTTGTTTTGCCTAATTTTATATAAGATGTTTGTTTGATATGTTTTTCTCTCGCTGTTTTCTTGTTATTCTTGTGAATGTACCCACTCCCCTCTATAATGTCATTGGCCCTGAGGGTATTGCAAATAAATAAATAAATAAATAAACAAATTACTATCGCAGCATAAGTTATTTACTGTGGTCCCATTCACGCAACGTTTGTTTATGAAGCTTAGAAGCGCTGTGATGGCATATTTATTCATGTCGCGAATCATGGAATTGGAGTTTTTATCTACTCCAGGCGCTGTGTTGCGCTTCATGCTGATGGTTGCGCTGTGACGTCGGCATGCGTAGGAGAGAACGTCCAGTTTTGAGCTTGGGAACCCATTTTGTATCAGCCTGCTAAGGGGCTGTGACGGCTTGGGCTTCAAAACACTTTGTTTAGTTGTCTCGAAGGAGATTGTCTCGTGTGCCTGGATATGTGTGCAATACTCTTACTAAAAATTCTTGTCTTTCGTGTTTAGCTTTCAGTGCGTCAATCATGGCTCTAAGAATATTCCGTGTCTTGGCTGTTCCAAGGGTTTCATTTAGCGAATCGCAGAGTTGTTTCGATTTGGCTGTCACTAGTTTATTAGAATGCATCTCGGCTTGCTGCGCTATTTCTTCAATTTTCGCTTTGAGTGCTTTATTTCGTTTTAACGTTTTGCATCGTTTAGTGAGGCGCATGGATGGATGGAGGGGTTATGATTGAATGGATGGATGAATGAATGGGTGGGTGGGTGGATGGATGGATTTGTTAGCAAACCACGAGCACTCTATAGTCTGACGCTAGATACGTATATAGATAGATACGGACGCCCAAAGTCGCCTAAGTTCGCTAAGAAATTGTATAAAACTCCTTTCAAATGTGTACGGTGTGCTGGGCTTCTCTGAAGAATGACGAAGGTCGGAATAATGAATGTCTACTGCTTCTAGCTTTCTCTGTAAATGTGACATAATGTCATCTCTGTGACATGATGAATGCCTCTCTCTACTTCTAGATTTTTTACTGTACTGCGTGTTCCACGTAGTCCGGGTGATTTTTCTACAGAGCATTTGTATGTAATTCTTTTTTGCAGGTGCTCTTCGATGGCGAACGTGCCATAGGAGTTCGTTTCATATATAATCAATTCATTTACGACGTTCGAGCTACTCGCGAAGTTGTGATATCGGCTGGAGCCATCGGTTCGCCTCAGTTGCTCATGCTGTCTGGCATTGGCCCCCGGAAAGACCTCGAGAGACTCAAGGTTTGTTTAACCTTTTCAGACACTATCTGTCATGAACTGTAGTAAAGGCGTCAAATCACTACAACGTTACTTCAATGCGCCTAATGGACCATTGCAACAAGGATAATGGGAGTATTGTTGAATTTTCGTGTTATAATACCTCGTGCTATTTAAGCAGCAAATATATGTCCATATCCTAAAATCAATAATGCTTACCATTGGCATAACCACAATCACATCTCACGTAAGGATTATAGTGCAAATTTATTTTTGGGTATGTGGAATTTCAGCGAAGAAGAAATTCTGTTCTTCACATTGCTTGCACGAAGCGGCATGTTGCACGACTCATCGAACGTAGAGCGACTTCAGAAAAGTGAGCATAAGTATCACTACACTGCAAAATAAAGTTAAGCGAAGACAAATTTGTTACACATGAAGGCAAACTAAGCTTAAGTGTGATATATCTCGCTCTTTCTGAGGCTGTACTTGATGCAAAACGCAAAAACAAGTGGTGTAAACAATTCTGTGCACAGCGTCTCAAGAGAGAAAATAGACAGGAACGCCTTCGCAATGAAGCTAACAATCGTGTTTTCAACCACTGTAGTCATCAATCGAAAAATAGGTTGCAGGCGCAAATCTACAAGTGAATTACTGCCCGACAGAGTCCATATACCCTCAAGCCAATATTTTCAGAAGTACATTACTCTTAACATCAAGGTTTCGTTTTTACTGATATACACAGCTGCTATCGAAGGACCGTTACCGACGGAGTTTATTCAGTAGGAAAAAATGGCGCAACGGGTTGTTACTTAAACATTGCACATACTAAGTAGCACATGAAGTTTCACTTATACGGCAAGGAGACGACGTGGTTTTTGTCCTACGTGGTGCGAATAAGGTAATTTTCTAGTAAGGCTGTTAACAGGTTTATGTATAATAACATAATTAGTATTATTACCATCAATACTGTTCTTACTTTGGACGTAAAGTTGGCCCAAGTAAGGGCCCAATCGGGAGGTGCTTTAAGATAAGAAAGCATAAAAATACAATGGAAAAGAAATCATTCAATGCATTCATATAACTGATGAAAAATACTGATGGTAGCGTATGAACACAGCATATACAAATACACAGAAAAAAGCAGACAAAAACCTTAGCATCCTCATTCTCCGATACCGCCACTATTAGACAGATTTTCACCGGGCGAATTGTTCAGTCTGTCTTTGTGTGCGGAAAAATTATTCATTACATTGTTGGCTCTAGTGCTACAAAGAGTTAGGGATACAGTATGGCGGTGCCTTGTTCAACGTGCTTCGAGTGGATGTGTAAAAGGCTGCGGATTAAGCGATAAACAGTTGTTTTTCAGCAACAACATAAGTTGAGGTGATAATTTTGTGTTTAGCTGCACTACCAGAATGTTATTTTTTTATTTACTCATACTGTTGGCCCGTCGGCCGTTAGAGGGTGGGTCAAAGCGAGACATTTGCATGGTCAACATCGTGTGACCTGAGAAGAGAAAAATGAGAATCCATACTACATAAGAAAAAAAACACAAGCGTACATAAAAAAGAAAGAAACCATACTACATAAGAAACCGTACCTAAGATACCACACACAAGAATGCATAAGCGTACATAAGTGAAATAGTTCCTGTATACATGATCAAGTTATACGACATCATAAATGCGCAGTTAACAAACGATGATCGAAAATATAACCGACCATTAGCGTACAAAATCACACAGCAGTATATGCGAAATAATCTGTACATACACGGATCAAACAATACAAAGCTAACAACACAATGCAACAACTGAACTCGGACAATGACTAAATAGACAGCTTGCGTAAAGGCGTGCGTCTTTAATGAGCTACTAGGTTATTTTCAAACTGTTCTACACTATTACTTTCTCGCGGTTGTAGTGGCAATTGATTCCATTCTTTAATGATTCTCGGGAAGAAAGAAAATGCGTAACTGTTAATGTGCATCTGAGGTATTTCGAAAGTACCATCTTTGATTCTTCGCAATGCTCTGCCTTGTCGGGCTATCAAGTGCTGACTGCCATTGATTTCGAATTTATTTTTAGAGAGGAGGTAAAAAAACTTTAGTCTTGCTTTGCGCCTGCGTTGAGCAAGTGTGGGCAATTTTAGCAGACCGAGCATTTCGGTGACGGAATCTGTACGAGAGTATCGCGCTAGAATAAACCTTGCTGCTCATCGTTGAACTCTTTCCAGTCTCTGAATTAACCCTGACAGATGAGGGTCCTAGATTATACTGGCATACTCTAGCGTGGGCTGAACGTAGGTCAAATAAGCTGTTAGTTTTAATGACTGTGAGGCTAAGTGCAGTTTCCGTCGCAAGAACCAGAGCTTTTTTTTTCCGCAGTTTTGCATATTTTGCCAACATGGTAAGACCAGCTTAAATTCGTGGATATATTTCCGCCTAAGTATTTCAGCACGTCAATCGCAGAAAGCACCAAGGAATTCACTGCGTAATTAAAGTATAAGATGTTATTTACTTTATTTGTTACGTGCAATGAAACAGTTTTATTCTCATTTATTTTCACTTTCCATTTGTCGCGCCTTTCTTCTACTGTCCTAAGAGTGTCACTTAGTAGCTCCTGATCAACTGGGCTATCAGTTTCTTTGTACAATAGACAATCATCAGCGAAAAGCTGGACAGTGATCCTTCCGTCACTTTCAGAGGCGATATCAATAATATAGACTAGGAATATCGCTGGGCCTAACAAAGACCCATAGGGAACACCTGACGTCACGTTCAACGGTTTTGATTTATTTGTTCTACTTCTACGTACTGCGCTCTGCCCCGAAGGTACGCGGTTATCCATTTTACTATTTGTTCGTTTATTCCAATAACTTCCAGTTTCATAAGCAGTTCTGCATGTAGCACTCTGTCGAATGCTTTCGACAGATCAAGACAGATGGCATCTATTTGTTTCTTTTTGTTTAACGTCATGGCAAAGTCATTATTTGTTTCAAGAAGCTGTGTTGCTGTGGAAAGGCGCTGTCGGAATCCATGTTGGTTTGGAAAAAATTTGTTTTTATTTTCAATATACGTGTAAATTGACTTGGCTACAATGTATTCTAGGAGCTTGCAGCAAACGCAGGTCAGCGATATTGAACGATAATTTTCAATGAATTGCTTATCACCAGATTTGTGCACAGGTATAACCTTTGACGTAAGCCAATCATCAGGGATTCGGCAATCTGCGAGCGATGTGTCAAATATAATCTATAAGTAATGAGCAACCCATTCCGCATACTAGTGCAGAAACGCATTCGGTATTTCATCAGGCCCTAGTGACTTTCTTACGTCAATATTCAGTAGTTGGACCACAATTCCCTCATAAGAGACTTCAACATCTGGCATTTTTTCCGAGCGAAGAAATAGAGAGGCAGCAGATTCGACACCGGATTGCGACGGAGTAGAAATCCACTACAGTGCTAAGTGACTCGTTATCTTTTTTCGACATGTGACGCCAAAATTTATCAGGAGACTTTGTCATGAACTCTGTCAGTGTTTCTTTGTAATATCTGTTTTTGGCTTCTGTAATCATGGAACGCAGTTGTGCAGACAATTCAGTTATTTTTGCGCGGTCTTTTGTTACTTTGCGTATCTGGCGGCTTAATCTGCACTTCAGTTGGATTATTTCTCTGTTTATCCAAGGTTTCCGCTTAGTTTTACTTCTTTTTCGAAACAGTACGAAATTTTGATACAATCGAAGATAATATCCTTGAAAGATTCCCACATGCCACTGACATCACCTTGAGAATCAAAACTGTCCAGTGGAAATGACAAGTAGTCAATGATACTTGTGTCATCAGCCTCAAAAAAGTTTGGAACATTTGTAATCGCTTCTTTATGTTTTCACATTCTTTCGCTATGTGGTATTTCGACAAAGACAGCTTCATGGTCTACGATACCCTTATCAACTGACACTTTGAACTGCTCGAAGCGCCCGTCAAGGAATACCAGATCCAAAATAGACGGACTTTCGCTCGATTTCCGCGTACTTTGGCGAACAACTTGTGAAAGGTCATAGGTGAATGCAATGTCTAGGAGTAAATCGCAGTGTGCCTGTTTCCGACACTCTGCCGTGAACATGCCCCAGTTAATTGCAGGTAAATTGAAGTCGCTGGTTAGGAGTAGCCAGCAGTTGCGTTTTTGTGTTTGATTGTATGTAACCCTGTATCGACTCTAAGAATGAGAGAGGTGAGTTTAGCGGTCGGTAAACGGTACCGAGAAGGACTACTGACGTTCAAATATACATTTCACACCAAACACTTTCGTTACTTCAATACCGCCTAGTGTTCTGAATTCAATATCTTCCTTCATTATTATTGCAATGACGCCTCCACGAGACTGTCGATCCCGACGCACTATCTTGTATCCGGGAGGTATGATCTCATTATCTTGAATCTCTGAATGTAACCACGTCTTCGTGATTGTAACTACATGAGAATCATAATTGACCAAAATGTATTCTAAGTCTGCCGTCTTCTTGACAATACTTCTAGCATTAAAGTGACTATCCGGAATTCCTGTTGCTCTCTTTATTTCGTTCAATCCTGGCCTGCCGCTGACAGCGCGTTGTTATTACGCCTGATTTTGACTCGATGATTCTTTTCGTCATCCCAAGTGAACATATCAGCATCAATGAACAGTTTATCATAATCAAGACGTACACGCTGTTCTCGTTTTCGTTCATCCTGCGCAGAATTCCAAAGAAGCTTGCGTTTGGCAACTGTTTCCCTGCTGTAGTCATCAACAATAGATATACCAGTTCCCTTCAGTTTCTTACAGTTTTTATATACTTTTGATTTTTCTCTGGAATCGTAAAGCTTCAGAATAACAGGACGCGGCTTGGTCTGCCACCTCCCGATCCTGTGTATTCGTTCAACTGTGTGCAGGGTTACGTTCAGCTGTTTATCAATAAAATCGCTAAGCACCTTTGTAGTTAGTTCCTCCGTTGTTTCTATTTGCCCTCCAGAATTCCGAAAAGCATAAGGTTATTTCGTCGGCTTCTGTCTTCATGTGAAAAAAGCCTTTTGTGCAGCGTTTTTACAGTCGCGTTCAGGATTTTGTTTGGTTTATTCAACTCGGCTATCAATTTGCCTTGGTCCTTGACAACATGTACCACTTTCTCAACTTGTTTTATTTTTTTCGCCCAACGCGGCTAAATCAGTTTTGATGACCTATTGCCCTTCAAGCAGTTCTTTCAAGAGCGCTCGCATGTTACAACCTGCATTCGTTTCGATGTCACCAGATAGCAACATACACAAAGAAGCGAATGACAAATAAAGCACTTTCGGGCACGGCAGCACTACAATGAAGCAATTATCGTTCTTGTAACCATAGTGCGAATAGAAACCAACCTGTTCAAGAAACAGAAGACGAGTTACCGGTGACATGGCTTCTGCGGTGCCACCGTGCCCACTGACGCATGCTGGTGAGTCCGCTGCCTTTATAGGACTGGACGACGTTTCCGTCGTCCTTCCATAGTATCTGGCGGCGATGCCGTCGCTGACAGGCACTTCCCAGTCGAGGATGGTCCTATCAGGATCCGGTCCTGCGATACACGTGTTGGATACGTTATGGCGGGATGCGCAGATCAACAGCACCTGTTCAAGGAACAGAAGACGAGTTACAGGTGACATGGCTTCTGCGGTGCCACCGTGCTCACTTACTAGTGCATTAATGTTTTCGGGAAGACTGTTGGTTAACCTCTGGAAAAAATCGCTGCATATCCATGGAGCGAATGATGAGTGGGGCGAAGCGTCTGTCAGTCTGTCTGTGTCTGTATCTGTCTGTCTCTGTCTGTCTGTCTGTCTGTCTGTCTGTCTGTCTGTCTGTCTGTCTGTCTGTCTGTCTGTCCACGGGTCTGTCTGTCTGTCCACGGGTCTGTCTGTCTGTCCACGGGTCTGTCTGTCTGTCCACGGGTCTGTCTGTCTGTCCACGGGTCTGTCTGTCTGTGCATGGGTCTGTCTGTTTGTCTACGGGCCTGTCTGTTTGTCTGTCTGTCTGTCTGTTTGTCTACGGGCCTGTCTGTTTGTCTGTCTGTCTATCCAAGGGTCTGTCTGTTTGTCTGTCTGTCTATCCATGGGTCTGTCTGTTTGTCTGTCTGTCTATCCTTGGGTCTGTCTGTTTGTCTGTCTGTCTATCCTTGGGTCTGTCTGTTTGTCTGTCTGTCTATCCATGCGTCTGTCTGTTTGTCTGTCTGTCTATCCATGCGTCTGTCTGTTTGTCTGTCTGTTTGTCTGCCTTTCCATGTGTCTGCCTGTCTATCCATGCGTCTGTCTGTTTGTCTGCCTATCCGTGTTTCTGCCTGTCTATCCATGCGTCTGTCTGTTTGTCTGTCTGTCTTTCCAAGGGTCTGTCTGTTTGTCTGTCTGTCTATCCATGCGTCTGTCTGTTTGTCTGTCTGTCTATCCATGCGTCTGTCTGTCTCACTGTCTATCCATGCGTCTGTCTGTTTGTCTGCCTGGCCGGTTACGCGTGGCACGTGGCAAGGTTAGAGAAAGAGGAGCTTCGGCCCTCAAAAAGAAATGAATTGTATTGGTTTGCTTTGTACCATTCCTCAGATGTCAGGGTTACATTTGGCCTCGCTGCGGTGGTCTGGTAACTAAGGTACTCAGCTGCTGACCCACAGGTCACAGGATCAAATTCCGGCTGTGGCGGCTGCATTTTCGATAGAGGTTAAATCGCTGTAGACCCGTGTGCTCAGATTTGGGTGCACGTTAAAAAACCTCAAGTTATCGAAGTTTGTGGATTCTTCCACTACGGCGTCTCTCATAATCATATGGTGGTTTTGGGAAGTTAAACCCCACATATCAATCAATCAATGTTACATTAGGGGACGTTGTCGTCCACAATATATGCATATTGAAATTTAGAATGAATTTGCTCGTAATTAGCTGTTACACGTGTTTTGTGGGGTTTTGTTTCAATTTTCGCTTCAAATAGCAGTTTACAGTAAGCAGATTTACAAATATTAGACAAGAACATATTCAAGGATAAATTGAGTTACAGTGGCATCTAAGTACTTACATTCAGCAAATTCTGTTAGTGGTTTCCTGCTGGTGGTATAGAAAAAGAATAGATATTCAACCTTTTTGTTACACTTCATACAGATGGATATTTTAAGATTTATTTCAATAATTCATTTGCAACACCACGACACTGTTTCGGTGCTACATCGTGTTACCAACAAAGCATATAGCCAATGACATTGACACAAAAGTAATAACTTAGTTACTCTTCAAGGCCTACGTGCCACTAAATATACCCAAATTTATGCCGTGGGCTTCCTCCTTCTCTTCCCGCTCCTAAATTCTTTATGCATAATAACGTAGGCAAACGTATTACACCACTTACGCTTGTCGGGGTGAGAATTCACATTTTCGGTCAAGAAATTAAATGAAACAAAGTGCCGCTGACAGAGGTTGCAAACTGTGGCATTTTATAATCCGGAAGCGCTAAAGGCTACTGAATAGCTTTGAGCTCTGCCATGTAAGCCAGAGAAGCACAAGCAGCACTCGTGTGTGTCGTTTTTTTGTGGGTCATGTTTTGATTTTGCGCTGTTAATTTTATTTCAGGGGTAAACGCTAGTAAAAAAAATTCAGCCTAAGGTGCATTATGCGGAAGGAGATTTATACCACGTAGTGTGGGCTGTTCTTGTAACGTTACTTTAGTAAGAAAGTAGTAGCTAATGTGGAAAAGACGGAAGGCAGACCTCTCTAGCTATGCACGCGAGGAAAAGCAGGGTCTCGTGAAATGTAAATGGGCCTAGCCAACATAATTCCCGCCTGAACATCTGACCAAACGTTCACTAGTTTCTTTTCTTGATTTTCAATAGGTGTTTTTGTCGTGATAACATTAGGTTGCTGCCAATGAAGGGCCAAACTACATTCAATTGTGCCTGCATGAAAATTACACGAAATAAAGTTTTCTGACAATCTCTCTCGCAGATTCCTGTCTTCCGTGACCTGCCAGTTGGCGAAAACCTTCAAGATCATATGCATATTAGCGGCATCGGCGCCACGATACGTCAGCAACACGGCATTAACCTTTCTGGTATCTTAAACTTCAACGAGTGGCGGTCAGGTGAAGACTATTTCTTTTTTGTCCAAGCAGATGAATCTAAACTATTTCGCTAGTGAATATTGGGCCTACTTTTTTCAGCAGCATACTTATGCACACGATCGTGAACTGAGTGTGGTGAATGTTTCTCAGACGCCCTCATGCAATTCATTTTTCTAGGTATTACTAATGGAAGCATTCGTGATTGAGTAAGCTATTTTAATCCGGGTAAAAAGAGGCTTTTTTGCGCTTTATCAGCAACTCGTTTCACAATACCTACTGAGGCATTCAGTTCGAATGTTCATATTTATTAAGCAAGAGATGCCTTCGTCTTTCGGTAGCCGGAGATAAATTCACTAATTAACGAAAATGATGGTGATGACGATCGTGATGATATATGTTCAGAGTTTAACAGACTCCGTTCTCGTCAGCAAAACTTACTCCGTTCTCGCCAGCAAATGTGCTTAGAAGCCTCATTTTCTTCACTAACTGCATTGCATTCTAGTGCGTGTACATTTTCTATGCAAAATGTATCCTAGAGGTTTCATGTTCTTTGTATCCATTTCCAATTCGCACAGTAGCCGTAGATATCGTGTCATGTAGGTTTTTCACCAAATCACCGCTTTGTTCGAGGTTCTTGAACATGATTACAAGCTGTTGCTTTTTTCGCAGGTCCGTATTCTATTCCTGCATCTATTGAGGCTCTTGCATTCGTTAACACAAGGTTTGTCCAAAAAGAAGCGGAATTTCCGGACGTGGAGATCGCCTTGCAGTCCCTCCCTTATTCGTGTTGTTTTCTCGATGTCTTCCTAAAAAACATGGGTCTTCGTGAAGACGTAAGCAGTTTCGCATATTTCATTAAGTGCGACACATTCCTAGCCTTTTATACGAAACTTGAAGTATGTTGACGTTTATGGGACAAAATGCATTGATGAATACTTGAAGGAATTTCCAGAATTATACGCGAATTTGAAACATGTTTCCTATGCAGCTGTGGTGCTCTGCTGCGAAACATAACTAGATGAGCTTAACTTCCAGACAAAGTAGCAGCATTTTGATTACACTCTGTTGAGCTGCACTGATTCGGTCATTTGTTTCTCATTGTTCCTACCTACATTACTCAGAGAAAACGTTCGGCAGCACCCACGTACCTGAGAATCGACGTAATGCGAAGCATGCGGAGGAGACGGTGACCCTGTTGCAATATTTTTATTGGGTGACACGGCATGACATGATGCTAACTATATGTACAAGTGTTGCACCCACAGACATATGTTGATGAGTTGAAACTGTTGATAGAACCAGCTGTTTGCACTAGCGCAATGATGCCAACGGGAACATGCGTATTACTAACACCAGAAGCTGATATGAAGCGCTTATGCTCGCGAAGATGCTGATCCCCGAAACTACTACATAAATCAACTGCAGTGCATGGAACCTAACCACAGTTCACGTTAACCCGACGTGACGGCTGTATAGGAAGAGTGCATATGTAATGTTTATAAAGTGTGGTAGGCGGCACTGCAACCAAGAGAATTAATGTTTTAGCGAAAATTGGCGTCTATATTTGAAAAGTATTGCTAAAGCCTGGCGGGAATGCTTCACTGTCACGCAGAGTTCTTTGGTTCGATTCATGCTGGAACCCTGACATTTACTGTCTTCTTTGGGTCAACGCTACCGACGTTGGGTATTGCTTAACGTTCATGCGGTAAAAATTCCCATGTGTAGTTCTCGTAGTCCCTGGATAGATACTAAGTGTCAATCACCTGTGGCACATGCCCGCATACCAGTGGACACATACGCGCCCTTGGTTACGTGCCACTGTCTGGCGGGAACTGTTCGACGACGTACGCTATGGAATTGTGACAATATTCATGTCTTGACCAGCGCGTCATGTTCGTCAAAACATCTTACCCTCCCATGGTGATTTTGGTTCACGCAAAGTTATAGGAGTGGTCACGAGAGAACCCAAATGTGAGCGGCTAAATTGATACGCTTAAAGTCGCTGAAGTTCGCTAAGAAGTGCATTTAATATCAGATCAGGTAGCTACGTAATTTGAGCTCTGCTACTCATGCTTGGTCGCCCTTCCGTGTTTTGCTTTTAGCCACGTGTCTGATCTACACATATAAGTTTCGTTTGTTTTGGTTCTTTTAATAAGCATTTAATGAGTCCTATAGAGCTCTGTGTAGCTGTTGTACTATATAATTCTTGTTTTTTTTCGTCAATAACTGTCACATATACTTTGATGCGTGAAAACAATTGACCAGTGCTCCAACGTCACGCCAACCTCTCCTAAACACCATATATTCAAAAAACATTTCCGAAAAGCCCGTAAGAGTAGCTACGTGGGCGTGTTAAAACGTAGACAGTTTCTTATACAAGTATTTCCTGCTAGAAACACTGTCCTCTCATCTTTTTTAGCATATGTTCTAGTCGCGTTATAAATATTAATCATAATTGGGTTTTAGGTGCCAAACTCACAAATAACTTAGAATCACCGTAGCGAAGGTCTCTGGAAATATTAACCATCTTGTGTTATTTAATGTGCCTTGGCATCGCACAGTACAAATGCCTATAGCATTTCACGGCCATCGAAATTCGACCACCACTGCCGGAATTCCAGGTGCGATGGACTCCAGCCTAGTAAGATAATTACTGATCTACTGCTGCAGCCTCATCGTGGTGGTCTAGTGGCTAAGGTACGCGGCTGCAGACGCGCAGTTCGCGGGATCGAATCCCGGTTGCAGTGGCTGGATTTTTTATGGAGGCTAAAATACTGTAGGCCCGTGTGCTTAGATATGGGTGCACGTTAAAGTACCCCAGGTGGTCAAAAGTTCCAGAGTCCTCTAACTACGGTGTCTCTTATAATCATATAATGGTTTGGGGCGTTAAACCCCACATTTCTTAACAGCTCCTCTCTTCTCCTCCTGCGTCAGCGTTTGCTCTAAATTTTCGACTATTGCTCCACCTACGCAGTGCAGAACTGGCAAATGCTCTTTGCGTCCAACACTGTTGCCGCCAAGTGGTCTCGCTCGTCAGGTGATATTTTTGCCAAGATTCTTTTTTCGTGTGAAGTTATTACTCACTTCTGAAACACAACGAGAGGATATCAACAGACGGACAGACTGAAACATTTTATTGGCAAGTGTGTTTGAACCCCTCAGGTCCTTGAACCGCCACACGCTCCTACGCCACATATACACGGTCGCGCATGCCTTTCGCGGTGATGACACTGGCAGCTCGAGTCACCACAGCAAGCTGGAATGCCGGGTGGTGTCATCGAGCTGCTGTTGCGCTTGGGGGGCGGCGAGAAACAACCGGGCGTCTCGGCGCCCTTTATCGTATTGCTGGTGGTGGTCGATATCTCTCGGCAGAATTATGCACAGCGAATAACGCTTTTTCGAGCCAAATGGCGCTGCCAAGAAATATACAATTTATTAGCTAAATGACGCAGCGATTTCACACAAGTGGTACACGTCAACGTTGCCATAGAACGCGCCTTGCGCGCAAGCTGAGAAGCGTCTCCAGCTAAAAACCATGAATCTGGAACCATAAATAACCTAAACGCGTTTGCAGACTACTTCATGGAAGCCGCGGACAAACATCAATATAAACGCAAGAGTGATTATGCAGCCTGTAGGACAAAAACCTAAAGGTTCCAGCACAGTTCGAAGAGACGCTTGCGTACCTTAGAGTCCCACACGGTTTGAAGTTATCCCAAGAGATGTTATGCAGCCAGATCTCCTCCGTGGTGCACATCATGTCTCAAACGGAATCCAAATGCAGATTGCCGCCAGTTTAACGTTATGCTGTAGCCACCACTGTACCAAAGGGAAGCCAAAACGCATACCAACCGAGACCACGCACCAGAAGTCTGAAAAATAGCCTCGAAATCCGCTGCACACGTGTGAATATCATCGTGTTGGGCACTGCTAGGGAGCTCGAGCACAGCAGAAACAAAAATAAGCAAGAGAAAACGCATGCCAGGGCAAAGCCTCCTATATAAAGAAGCCTGCGACATCGCAAACTCTCCCATGTGGACGAAAGGTTCCTCGTAGTTCAGGAGCCGCGAGATAGAAACCCGCGAGATAGAAATGAAGGTAACCGAACCTGTCTGTGTCATGCCACTTACTGTGGGCGCTTACCGCTTCATACTGGGACAGCCAGTCTGCGGCTTCTTGGTCGTACGGTCGCGTTGAAAGTCAATGGATCTCGCTGTCGCGGCATTCCAGAACAGGTGGCAGGTGGGATTATGACTGCAGGTGGCTGGATCATGTCGTCAGCATTGTCGAGGCGGGGGTTGAGGTAGAGTCCGGGAACGGAGTTCCAGTTTGAGACAACGAGCACCTCCACCAACTTTAAGAGTACTGTTATACACCACACCGTGGTGAGGCAACCGTTTCATGGGCCGAACAGCAGCGAGACAGCAGCCAGTGGTTTCAGTGGTAGCTGCAGAAGCACGAGCCTCCGCCACAACAAACGTCTTCTTCATCGTCTCTAGCAAGCACGTATTTGTCACTACACTACAGACTTCTGAATATCAGTGGGAATTCAACCCGGGTCGTGGGCGTAGCAAGCAGGTGTTTCACCACACAGCCACGCGTCTGCTCAGAAGTACAAGGAAAAATTAACTTCTTGTTCAAAACGCAGGGGAAATACCTTGCATGCTTTAAAGGGTATGAGTTATCTATACATATTTCACAATACAACGTTTAATATTGCGCGGTACAAGCAATCGGGCTTTAGATGTGGTTTTCCCAATCACTTCGGGGTTTACAGCCGGCCAGCCTTTAGAAAAGGCCACAGAAGACACGTTAAGAAAGGGTGGATTATTTTTCGCATGAAGCACGATAGTGCCTACTGTTTTGATTGGAAATCAGCAATAGCAGGAAAATGACATAATACCAAATGAGCTAATGACTAAGATGCTAGTTAAGGATATGTAAATCTAGAGTAGACCTTCTGAACCGAACCTTATAACGCCTAACATTTTGAAATCTAATCAGAATAACTTTTTATTCATAGTCTGTTACACAAAATAGATTCACAAGGTGGACATGAGAGGAGCATCATGGATCACGATTCACCATAACACTGGAAACAATTTCACAATCACTAGCCTCTTAGCCTACAATATTACAAGCGATGAACAGTGCTTCATGGTGATGAACATGCGACAGCATACTTTTGAGAATGGATTGCTTTCTCCGAAGAAGACATCAGCTTGGGATAGTCGGTAATCAATTCTCATAAAACAGGTCGATAGCGCATGACTTGAAAATGAGCGCTTTTCTCCGTTCCCGTCTTTGTAAGTTGTCCACAGTGGTGCCTTTCTCGAAAACGTTGTGTTGAAATCTAGAAAGCACAATTTGTAGTCTACCTACAGTTATGCCAAGGTCATGTAAGTGCCAAAAAATTTTGGTATTTTATGCATTGCTGCACAGTGGAATTCATCGAACAAATCCGGCTCCACTACAGCTGTCGCTCTCGACATGTTCCACTTGCAAATTATTTTTTTTCCTGCCGACTTTAATTCCTGTTTTGATTCTTGCGCCTTGCTTTGCAAAGCAAAAGAAAAGATTCGGCAGATCCCAGGCACCTGGGAATCAACGTTATGCGAAGCATGCGAAAGGAAGGTGACCGTCTTGCAACTTTTTATTGAGCAATACGTCATGAAATGACTAAATATATCTACAAATGGTGCATACAAAGACATTTGTGGAAGAGTTGCAGATGTTCACATAACCAGTTGTTTGCACTTGCGCAATGGTGCCAACTGGAACATACGTATTAGAAACACCAGAAGCTGATATGAAGCATTGACGCTGGCGAGGA